AACAGTGTGGAGGTTCCTCAGGAAACTAACAATAGAACTCCCTTATGACCCAGCAATAGCACTGCTAGGAATTTACCCAAGGGATACAGAAATGCTGAGGCATAGGAGCACATGTACCCCAATGTTCATAGCAGCACTCTCCACAATAGCTAAAACATGGAAAGAGCCTAAGTGTCCATCAACAGACGAATGGATCAAGAAGATGTGGTTTATCTATACCATGGAATACTACATGGCAATGAGAAACAATGAAATCTGGCCATGTGTAGCAACATGGATGGACCTTGAGGGTGTTATGCTGAGCGAAATAAGTCAGGCAGAGAAGGACAAATATCATATGTTTGCACGTATAGGAGGATTAGGAGGAACTTGATGGAGGAACAAGGGGGAGAAGAAGGGCGGAAATGGTGGGGGAAAGGGAGAGAGGCAAACCATGAGAGACTCTTGAATGCTGACAAAAACTGAGGACTGATGGATGTGGGGGGAGGGGGGATGGGCATGGAGGAGGACACTTGTGGGGATGAGCACTGAGTGTTATGTGGAAACTAATTTGACAATAAACTATTTTTAAAAAAATAAATTAATTAATTAAAGACAAAAAAAAGAAAGTTATGCCATTTTCTGATAGATTTTAATAGTGCAAAGAATCAAAGATTCAGCTAAAAACTTACTAATTAATTCATTTAAAATTTTCAAGATTTTGTAAGTCAAGTTTAAATTAAAGAAATGTGTTTATTAAAAAGAATATATTTACGAAGATTTTTGTGTACCAATCCTTGACACAAACAATGACCACAGTGTCTAAAACAGTAAGTAATACATAGAGGTGCCCGAGTGACTCAGTCTGTTAAGCGTCCGACTTCAGCTCAGGTCATGATCTCATGGTTCATGATTTTGAGTCTCACACCTAGCTCTCTCTGCTAACAGCACAAAGCCCACTTCAGATCCTCTGTCCCCCTCTCTCTCTGCCTGTGCCCCACTTGCACACTCATACTCTCTTTCTCTCACTCTTTCTCCCTCAAAAATAAATAAACATTAAAATTTTTTAAAAATTATATGTAATATGTAGTATGTAGACATCCAGGTGAAGGATTTTTGGATTAGGTCAATGAATATTAGACTTGGTAAAGAATTGACTTGTCATTTCACATTGTAGTTTCAATAGCCTATCATTCTTGTTTAAAACTGGACTGCATTGTACAATAATTTGTCTGATCTTAGCACATAATTTAACCATTATTAGTTACCATGGTGATACAGGCTAAAGGTTTGTATAATCATAAATAAATCCTAAAATTAATAGCTTGGCCATTATACCTTAAATTCAATCTGTTAGTAGATGAAAATGACTTGAGAAAAAATAATACATGTTCTGTGAACTCACTGTTTTGCTTAGGAATTCTTAATAAGGAGTGGCTATTTTCTCCTCAAATTATTAAAATTCCTAATGATGCTTTTTATAGAATTTAAGAAAATCTACCTGTATAAATGTGCAACTCTTCTTTTGATGAATTTCCCCTCTTTACCATAGTCTCTATCCTAATAGTTACTGTAAAATAAAATCAAATGCTACCAGAAAGAATAAATTATCATAAATTGATGATGAGTAACATTACACAAGGTTTAATATGCAAGCTCAAACTTGATTAGATGGCAGTTCCAAATGACTAAGTGGGCAGCAGAGCAAAATGATGCTTGATTATGGTCTTCCCAATGGTAATTTCTACTTGTACAGAGTAAAATACTAAATAATCCTGATTATACTATATTATAATTGTAACTAATTTCTTTAGCAGTATGAAGCCACCTGGAGTCAAGTTGCACTGGTCTGTGTGTGTGTGTGTTGTGCATGGATGCGAAGGAGTAACAATCTTCCAAGGAGTCATTCTTATATTTCCTTATATTTTAAATGCTCTTATTTTCTGTCTGCATCCACTGTATCGTCTAGCATATGCACTGAAATGTATGCATCTTCATCTGAAAATCACAAATCTAGAAATAAGAACTAATTACTTGTCTAGTTGTAAGCTCATATATACAAAAATCCTGGAGATGATATTTTGTTCCATTCTTTCTTTACCAATTTATATCCAAGCTAAGTGAGGTTTCTAACTTTAAAATATATCCAGAGCCTAGCCTATTTCACTACCTCTTCCACTAATATCCTGTCTTTAACCATTCTCATCTATTACCTGTGTCAGTACAATAATCCAGGCATCTGCCCATGTTTACACCATTATCAATACAGCAGCCAGGTCATTAAAACCTAAGTCATGCCACACCATTCTTCAGAAATGTTTTTGCATTTCTATAAACCATTAATGAAATAGCAGAGAGTAAAATAAGAATCAGTCCCATTTACAATTGCACCAAAACCAGTAAAATACCAGAAATAAACCTAACCACAGAGGTGAAAGACCTGTACTCTGAAATTATAAAACACCGATGAAAGAAATTAAAAATGACACAAAGAAATAGAAGAACACTCCATGCTCATAGATTAGAAGAACAAATACTGTTAAAATGTCTATATTATCCAAAGAAATCTACATAACATATTTAATGCAGTCCTTATCATAATATCAACAGTATTTTTCACAGGGCTAGAAGAAACAACCCTAAAATATGTATGGAACCACAAAAAGATCTCAAATAGCCAAAGCAACTTTGAAAAAGAAAGCAAAGCTGGAGGTATATCAATTCTGGACTTCAAGTTATGTTACAAAGCTATAGTGATCAAAACAGTATGGTACTGGCACAAAACTAGACACACGGATCAACAGAACAAATAGGAAACTGAGGAATGAACCTATAACTATATGGTCAATTAATCTTTGACAAGCAGGAAAAAATATCCAATGGAAAAAAGACATTCTCTTCAAAAGTTGGGAAAAATGGACAGCAACATGCAAAAGAATGAAACTGGACCACTTTCTTACACCAAACAAAAAATAAATTCAAAATGGATAAAAGACCTAAATGTGAGACTTGAAACCATAAAAACCTATAGGGGAACAGGTAATAACCTCTTTGTCATAGGCCACAGCAACTTCTGACTAGACATGTCTCCAGAAGCAAGGGAAACAAAAACAAAAATAAACTATTGGGACCTCGTCAAAATAAAGTTTCTGCACAGTGAAGGAAACAATAACCGAAACTAAAAGGCGAGAATCAGAATGGGAGAAGATATATGCAAATAATCTACCTGATAAAGGGTTAGTATCCAAAATCTATAAATAACTTATTGAACTCAACACCCAAAACAAACATAATCTAGTGAAGAAATGGTCAGAAGACACAAATAAACATTTTTCAAAGAAGATATACAGATGGCAAATAGCTGCATGAAAAGATGCTCAACATCACTCATCATCAGGGAAATAAAAATCAAAACTACAATGAAATACCACTGCACACTATCAGAATGGCTAAAATTAACAATATAGGAAACAATAGATGTTGGTGAGAATGTGGAGAAAGGGGAACCCTCTTAACCTGCTGTGGGAATGCAAACTGGTGCAGCCACTCTGGAAAACAGTATGGAGTTTCCTCAAAAAGTTACAAATAGAACTACCCAGTGATCCAACATTGCACTACTAGGTATTTACTCAAAGAATAGAAAAATACTAATTCAAAGGGATACATGCAGCCTAATGTTTATAGCAGCATAATCAACAATAGCCAAATTATGGAAACATTCCAGGTATCCATGGACTGATGAATAGATTTTATATATATATATATATATTCAGTGGAATATTATTCAGCCATAAAAGAGAATGAAATCTTGAAAATTCCAAGAGCATGTATGGAATAGAGAGTTTTATGCTAAGCGAAATAAGTCGGTTGGAGAAAGACAAATACCATATGATTTCACTCATATATGTAATTTAAGAAACACAACAGGGGCACCTGGGTGGCTCAGTCAGTTAAGCAACCAACTTCAGCTCAGGTCATGATCTCATGGTTTATAGGTTCGAGTCCCACATCGGGCTCTTTGCTTTCAGCTCCAAGCCTGAAGCCTGCTTTGGATTCTGTGTCTCCCTCTCTCTCGGCCCCTCCCCGACTCATGCTCTGTCTCTGTCTGTCTCTCAAAAATAAATAAACATTTAAAAAATTTTAAAAAAGAAACAAAACAAAATGGGCAGAGAGGAAAAAAAGAGAGAGAAGGAGGCAAACCAGGAAACAGACTCCTAGGTATAGAGAACAAACTGATGGTCACCAGAGGGGAGGTCGGTTGAGAATGTGTTAAATAGGTGATGGGGATTAAGGAGTACACTTGTGATGAGCACAGGTGTTGTATGGAAGTGTTGAATCATTATATTGTACCCCTGAAACTAATATTTCACTGTATGTCAAGTGAAATTTAAATAAAAACTTAAAAAATAAATCAACCTTTAAATGATTTCCCAAAGCAAGCTAGAAGCCAGTCTTTACGATGGTTTATGAGGCACTAGAGCTATACTGCCCACATGTGGCTGCTCAACACTTGAAATATGGCTAGGCAGAAGTGAAATATGCTGTACATATAAATTATACACTGAATTTCAAATCTCTCTCTCTCAACCATACAAAAGTATTACCTCGGTTTTATTTTCTCCATAGAGCTTCTCTCTACCTAAAATTAATGTTTGATATTGTTAAATTGTATATTCAATTATTCTGCTAAATGTAGAGTCTATTCGAGTTTATCATAGCACACGGTAAGCACCCATTACATATTTATTAAATGAACATATTAAATGTAAAATATATTGCAATAATCATTGTTACTCAAAGGAAAATCAGTATCATAACTGAAAGTGGAATTTGACTCTTTTGATAGAGCAAATGAATATTGCGTATTTTAACGATTATGGTCTTTGCTTAACTTTTTAAAATTATTCTGAATTTTACAGAAAATACTTATAATAAATAGAGAAAAACAATAGTTAAAAACAGTTAAATGTTAATACATTATAATATAACACATATTATATTTATTACATATAATAATGAATCTGTTACATAGTATAGATTACTAAAATCTTCTTACAAATCAAATGTAATCATTATATATATCAATTATAATTAAACAATAGCAATAATCGCTCCTCGGATAAACCTCATTGGCTACAATGCTGCCACCGCGTAAAGCTATATAATTAACAATAAAACTTATTATATAAAAGGATATTTTTGGTGAGGTTTTATATAAGATAATGATTTATATATATTTTTTATGCTTAACTTTTAATGATAATCAGTCTCTAACAGCATAATTAATAATTGCTTTTATAATAGCATTTTTGACACTAATTTTATCATTAAAAATTGTTTTTTTTTAATTTTTTATTTATTTTTGAGAGAGATAGAAAGGCAGCACGAGCAGGAGAGGGTCAGAGAGAGAGGGAGACACAGAATCCGAAGCAGGCCCCAGGCTTAAGAATGTTACTAACCAGTAAACAAAATTTGTACACATTGCTTTGAGATTTTTAATAATTATATGAATGTCAAGCAATGAAATAACCAGGAATTATATTGAAAGGGCCAATTACAGGGACTCTTAAATCATTTAATCTTTCACAAGGATACATAATGTAGGACCTTGAATTTTATTTTTTACAGCTCATGAAGAAATATATAAATATTCCCAGCACATCAATAGTAAAAACTGCTTACAGACTGAAAATATATTAGCTCTAAGCATATCTTTGTCTGTATGTTAATAGTGTATTTCCATAAAAACAGTGTTTTAAAGATCGTTAAGTTATTAGTAGTAATAGCTGATAACACATGACTTAAAATGTGTAAACAGTTCAAAAGTGTGTATCTTTTAAAGGTAACTGTGAAGCTACTTCCTTGAGGTAAGCACTGTCATTAAGTTTCTTATATTTCTAGAATTCTTTGTGTAAATACTATGTGCACGGCATTTCCATGCACACATACACATCCTTTTTAAATAAACATAAAGAAGAACACTCATACATGTTATTTACCTTGTCTTCCTCAATTATTATATCTTGGAAGATTTTCTTTATTAACACATAGAAAACTGTTGTCATGGAGTTTTAATAGTTCAGTAGTATTTTAATATAGGGATGTCCCAGCATTCATTTAACCAGTACTCTGAAGATGACTTGGGGTTAAAATAATTTAGGATCATAAAAGGCATTTTGAAAAGATAAATATAATCAAAGAATTTTAAAATATCAAATTGTACATATATTTCCATCTTTAAAAATCTACTCACTGTAAACATTCTAATTTCTAATTTTACTATATTTTTACAATATAGGGACAGTTAGCATGAACTTCTGAGATTATGCAGAGCTTATTAAAATCAGTTCATTTGCATTTACTTTGTTTTATCCAATAATGTACTCCTTGAGAGATCATATTTATTATTTTATCTCCAGACTTGAGGGAAAAATGTTCAAAAATAATTTTAAAATACTTTTATTCGAAATAGCTAAGAGCTACTTTAATGCTAGATTCTTATGTTATTTTTCTAAGAAAATATTAAAGTATTTAAAAAGTCTTCTGAAATGCAAAATTTCATATTTTTTTTTTACCATAGATTTACTAGAATGTGCTTATTTTCCCTTTAAGTCAGTCCCTAATTTCATTGGTTTTGGAATTGTCCCCTTGACCCGGTTGTAAATTTTAGGATGGAAATAAGGTTTTATTAACCTCTTCTCTTTCCCACACTGTTTGACACAGAGGTGAAAATGTAGTTAGTTCAGACATATGTAAAACTACAATGTATTGTTTGCATTATATATAATGTCAAGCTCAGGAATACTGTACAAAAGCTACAATATCATTTAGTGTTTACCAGTTGCAGTTGAAACATGTTTGAATAACCTCTTTAAGATTCAGAAGGATATGACCTCAAGAATTATAATCCAAGTGTATAGAAGGGATTCTACTATATTCTACCCTTTTATTCACTATGTCCTGAAAAATGACAAAACTAGTACTTCCGTCATATAGATGAATTGCGGTTGATTCTGAACTGACATTAATGTGTAAGTGAAGATATCTAAGAAGAGGGAAAAAAAGGTAAAGGATATATATGAAAAGAAGCACTAAAAGAGAATCAGAATGGCCAATAAACACATGAAAAAGGTTCAGTATCACTAATAATCAAGAATGAATGAAATTTCAAAGAGCAATGGGATCTACCATTTTCAATGATTAAGATAACATTGGGCCAAATGATTTTGACTCTATCCCTTACTAGCTATGTACAGGTTATTCAATATCTCTTTGCCTTCATTTTTCCACTTTTATTTTTTAATGTTCAATTATTTATTTTTGAGAGAAAGAGAGGGAGAGAGCAGGGGAGGAGCAGAGAGAGGGAGACAGAGAATCCCAAGCAGGCCCCACGCTGTCAGTGGAGAGCCCTATGCAGGAGTTTATCTCATTAATTGCTTAACCTGAGCCAAGATCAAGAGTTGGATGCTTAACGAACTGAGCCACCCACATTCCCCCATTTTAGCACTTTTAAATTCAGAATCATAATAGTATCCATCTAATAAAATTGTCATATAAATAAAATATCTAAAAGCAAGTCTGAGTACAGTAATAGGAGGTTAACAAAAAGAATAATAGTAATGATCTCTTAATAAATAACAGAATGTTGGATCAAGAGAAATTTTTATGTACCTGAATGTGAAAAAAGTTGGCAATACTGAAATAGAAATTGTCAAAATACATGTATAAATATTCATATTCATATTGTAGTACTTTTATACATATACAAAATAAAAACAATGCAAATGTTGGTATATACATATGATAGGATATAACACAATAGTTAAAATAAATAGACAAATAAATCAAAAGAATCAAACTTTTATCTCTCCTTTTCTATATGAAACACTTTAGGCTAACAAAATACTGGATGAAATGTTAAGTATCCAGTGAATAAATGAAGAAAGAGTATGTTAATTAGAATTTCACTGTTTTGTGTCCTTTAATGAAATACTGGATTTAGGCGGTGGCTGCTAACATCACAGAGAGGGACGTTATGTTCCTTCTGACGTAAGCAACACACCACCACCACTTGTGATATAGTCTTGCCAAAAAAGAAAAGAAAAGAAATCAAATGTGAACCTGACTACCAAGTTAACGGAAATAAAGAGAAGATAACATTTTGAAATTAGCAATCTCCGACTTTGGGAAATTGAAGGCAAATGAACAGGTTTCTCCAACAAACAAACACCAAAGGAAGGAGAGAGACAGAGACAGAAATTGATTTTAGATCTACATTCAGGCTAAAAGATTTTTAGGAAATACCTTTATTTCGATTCTGATTAGAAAAAAGTTTTAAATGAAAAAGAAAGGGACACAGTATGGAAAATGTGAGCACTGACTAATAAAAACAAAGATAAGGGCTTGGGGGCACCTGGCCGGCTCAGCTGGTGTAGTGGGTGACTCTTGATTTCAGGGTTGTAAGTTCCAGCTCAAGGCTGGATGTAGAGATTACTTAAAAATAAAAATAAATGTTTTTTTAAGGCACAATAATATTTTATTTTTTAACATTTACATATCCAAATTTTAATAAGCCAAAATGGTATTCTACCTGAGATTTTTTCATAATCATATGTAGAAAGAAGTTTGTATACAATTAAAACAAACTGTCTATATGCTGAAAGTTGCTGGCACTCTAGGAGGGTAAATTAAAACCATGCCACTTATTTTGTAACACATTTAGAATTTCCAAAATTTTAATATATATTAATTCATATATAAAATAAAATACATAATACTTTACCACTTTCAAATGCCAGTTTGTTTTTCATCAATATATAATATGATTGCTATTGAGCACCTATTAGAAATAATGAAAGTTGGCTAATTAGGCTTGCATTAACATATCACTCATTATTTTTACCTAACAAAGGTGTTATTATGTCTTCTTAAGTTCAAACCTAAATAACTCTAATTATAATCTTGCTCATCTTCTCTTTGCTCAAGTAACAAGAGTAGTATAGTTATATATACCAGCATGAAATAAAATTGGCATTTTTTCTTTATTGCAATTCACAATAAAAATAATAAAGTTTACTTACAGATTACATTTATTTACCTACTAAAATATAGTTCAGACTGAGTAAGACTGCCATTTTCCATATGAAAACCAAAAAAAATTGTTTTGGAAAAAATATTATTTTATTGTTTTTAAGACATCTTACATATTTTACTTCTAGGAATCAATCTATAAACAGCTAGATTTTCAGGTCTGTCAACCTATAAACAACTACATTTTCATGTCTGTCAACTGTAATGAGTGATGCCAGTTACCAGCTGACTGACACTAGTTATTTGGGAAACAAAATCCATCACCAATTTGATTGTCAGTTTAAAACTTCTAGAAAAAAAATGAAATATATTGAAATTAATATTATAATTAACATTAATATGAAATTAATAATTAATAGTAATAATGACCATATTTTTACATGTTTGTACCTCTGTTTTCTAGGTTTATTTCATTCCAACTAAATAAGGAGAAAAAATTCAAATACAAATATAAGTTGTTATTTATCAATAAAAAAGGAAATTACAACCCAAATATATCTTGTTAAATGGCTTTTTGTTTTATTTTTATCTCCATCTTTATTCATGAGTTGGAAAAGCTTTTAAATCTTTCCCTGAGAACAAATTGTTTGCTTAAAAGTATAGCTCTCTACAGAGATCATGTTTTTCTTACTAAATTAATTGTCATCCTTCCTTTCTATTCATTTAATACTAATCCTGATTACTGTATCATAAACGCTCATGGAGAATAGAAAATTCTTATTAACTCAAAGGAAATGCCTTTGAAAATATTCTGAAGAGACATTGTTACACATCTAGTAGCTACAAAACTGCAAACTAATGGTAACATTTTTTAATAAAAAGAAATATCCCCACTGTCACCATCAACAATAAGGAAATACACTGTTAATAATAATAAGAGTCAGGAGATCATTAGTTGTGAGGCTAGGGATAAAAGAAAGAAAAATATTTGTAGAGGAAATGTTTTATTGGGATTCAATTAGAACAGAAGTTGTACCATGAAGTGTTTTTTTTTTTCTTTTCTGATACAGCATAGACATTACATGTTTTACATCATTAAAAAAAAACAAAGTAGAAAATATAGATTTCA